TTTTTTTTTTTTTTTTTTTTAACCAGTTCACCCTTTCCCCAGAAACAGGTTTCGGGGTCTGCCAATATTTCCAGAAGTCATTAACCAATTTTTTAAAGCTGGGCACGGGCCGCAGGGAGGCATTAAACTTGTAAAACCCCGGCGATGTGGTTGTGAAATGACAGGCCCAGTGTGATCATCCTGTGATCAAAGGACTTACAAGGGCTAATCGTTGTTATTTCCGCCGTTGTAACGAGGCCCATCATGTCTTTTGACACCAGTGTAAGGTCAATGTGTGAGTTAGCCAAGCCGAGGTCGCCTCTTGACGACAGGCAGGTGTCTACTCCTAATTGTAGGCATACGGGGAACCCCGTAGCAGCCAGAACCGTGTTCACGAGWGAACATGCGGGGGCTGCTCCCGACCTGCAGGTGGGCGATACCTGCTAGGGGACAGCCGGTAGCATCAGGGACCAGGCCAACAGGACCAATCCCTGTGCCTCCCCTCAGGTCCCCCCCCCTACGAACATCAGCAGACTCTGCTAAATGCCAATGGGGGGATCCAGTGGTCTATCTCTAGGTGGCGGGCGCCAAGCATGCCCAGGAAGGTACATGAGGCCAATGGGGATTGAACCCACGGCCTCCTGAATGCCACTTGCGAGCCTTACCAACTGAGTTAGGCCGCTGGAATGCCGTTTTGGATGTGAGGGAAGCCACGTATTCCGGGTAATGGCTGATAAAATGAAAAGCGACCTCCGCACGAACCTGGGCAGAGAGCCCGGGGCCGAGGTCCCACTCGCAAGAAGGATAGGATCGAGCTCCTGAATCTGGACGTGTTTTATGCAGAGATGCAGAAGAGCAGTTCAATCTCTATTTCCTGCACATCTCCATAACCTCGACCAGATTCAGACATTCGATCCCATCCTCTTTGCTAGTGGGACCACGCCCCGGGAGCAAGGTCCCACTTGCATGGATTACGAAGTTTCGGCCGTTGATCTCGGCGATCTACGGTCTCTATCTTTTAAGTCATGCAAATGGGACCTACCGTCTTCCCCCGAACATAACGCACCCTAAAAATGAATGTATGCAAGCTATATTTCCAGCCAGATACGGCAAAAATAAGGGTGCGTGTGTTCGGGGGAAGACGGTAGCCCCGGATCATGCCGGTAAGGTTGCGAACTGCTAGATTCACTGTTACGACTGTTATTACTTTTTTTTTTTTGAGACGACTGTTATTACAAGAAAGAAAAGTAGACCAAAAAAAGAAGTAGAAGTCCATCTTATAAACCCTTTTCCAAACAAATGAAATGAAATAAAATAAAGAAGTCGAGCTTATAAATAGACGTCAAGACTATGGGCCTACCATCTTCCCACGAACACAACGCACCCTCATTTTGGCTGTATCTCGCCGGAAATATGGCTTGTATACATTCATTTTTAGGGTGCATTATGTTTGGGGGAAGACGGTAGTTGCACTACTCGGCATCCCCCACAATTGGTGGCAGATGGGTGGAGGGTGAAAAAAATGAGAATAGGCTGCTACGGGGTTCCCCGTATGCCTACAATTAGGAGCACATACTAGCCACAATATATTTCTTCTACAAAAAAGTTAAAAAATTTTGTCCGCCTGGATGTGTGATGGAGCGTGCCTATCATTGTGAATGTTTGCTCTTCATCCTCATGTGTCCGCTGTCTGTGCCGGGCAGTGTTGAATCTTCTTCTCTTCTCTCTTCTCTCTTCTCTGGCCAGAAAGTTCTTTTTTTTTTTTTTTTTTTTTTTTTTTTTTTTTTTTTTTTTTTTTTTTGGAAGAAGAAAGTTGTTTGGGGTAACTAGGGCACAGTCACGAAAGCCGTTCCTAAAAGCATTTCGAACGGTCGTTTTTAAATCCATTCCCGTGCGGAGTTTGCTATGCAGTCCAAACTCGACGTATGCAGAAAAGTCGCAGCACGGAGTTTGGAACTGCACTTCAGTCAGCCAGGTGGCCTCAGTCAGGGCCCGGCTATCCACGAACAGGAGATAGAAAAAAAAAAAAGAAAAAAAAAGCATCCCTTATGCTGTGATTGGGGTCCGATACAGGATGCTACAGTAGTTCTGGAACTGAAGGACGCGAGGCAGTTAGCTGCCTCGCGTGGAATCCGCCCTGCCTCCGCCCTGCGTGGCTGGCAGGGCGCTACAAGGACCTCACAACAAGAAACAAAAAAGGAAAATGACCTGTTTCATGTTCCTCATGTCCTGGCCAGATACATTCCTCAAAGCACTGGTGACGTAGGTGGATTCGGAGTTCCTCGTTGCTTTACTTTTTTTTTCCTTCTTTTTCTTTTTTCTCTCTTTTGGCCTCCATCCCTGTCCCGAGCCCCCCACTTCTTCGGAGTAGGCTACTCGTGAGACTTCGCGTTTGGCTGTGAAGGGTAGTGGTGGTTTAATCTTGGCTGTGGCCTAGACATCTCGGCCGTGGCCAATCTGGGGTGTGGCCAAGACATCTCGGCCGTGGCCCGACCACGGGGCTGGTTTTTTTTTTTTGTTTTGTTTGTTTGTTTGTTTTTGTTTGTTTGTTTGTTTGTTTGTTTGTTTTTGTTTGTTTGTTTGTTTGTTTGTTTGTTTGTTTGTTTTTGTTTGTTTGTTTGTTTGTTTGTTTGTTTGTTTGTTTCCCGGGCATGGCGCGGCTCGGCGTGCGGCCCGGGGAAAAACAAACAAACAAACAAACAAAAA